GGAAGCAATTTTTCTAAATAAAGATGTAGATATGTAGGTATTACAACCATTACAATGTTAAGAAGAACGTTAAGAAGGGTAACCAGCAGGGCCCTATTACGGAGCCACCGCTGTCCGTGCATCTGTCTGTCAGCCGGCTGCATCTCATGATCCGTAATAGGTAGATGGTTGTAATTTTCACAGAACGTGTATTTCTGTGCCGCTATAACAGCAAGTGGTAAAAATAAATTTTAAATTAAAGGATTTTCTACTAGAAAAAGAAACGTGTATTTTTGGCTTTTTTTGATCGATAGTAATATGTAGGTATTTAAATCTTGTAATCTCGGAAGCTCGGAAGTCCGATTCGCACTTGGCAAAATATTTGTTCATATTTAACCTTACCTCAGACATACTCATATTTTTTTATATATAATTTACTATACTACTGTTTAAGCTACTACTAAATAAAATAGTAGTAGCTTTGCTATGGTATTATAGTATATTTTGGATTAGATTTAATTTATTACAGAATAATACGAACTAAATAAAAACTAAGGAGCGCATCAACCTACCTTAGATTTTTGGGTTATGAATACAGATAAGTACACATAGGATTTAGTTTCTAAGTTGTACCTACATATTTATAGCATATGAATAGCATAAACAAGCCCCCCTAGCCTACAAACGTTTCGTAACGAATCTCTTTCTACAATCGCGCCTTTTATTTGTTTGGACTGACCACCTGACTCGTTCAGTGATGCCATTCCCATAAAGTGTTTAGTTTTCAACTAGCGTTATCTATTATAAATAAATCAAAATTTTATTCATATTTCGCTAATTTAGTCTGTACTGTGAATTTGATTTACAATCGATCTCTAAATTGTAGTTTTCTTCTAATTACTTACCTTGCCTAGACGTGTTCTTTGGACTTCTGTAAGGAAGTCTGTGCTGTTAGTATTCCGTTTATATACGTTACTATTTTGATAGACGTTTGTGCTTGTCCCTGCAGTGACACAATGCCTATTGTTGATAACTTTCTAAGTACTAAAAGAATATTGCAAACCGCTATTGAACACAAACAATCAATAAACGAATTTACAAACTAACATTTTTTATTTATTTAATTAACCTATATAAAAGCCACACTCACATCAAAATCGCGCTGTCGCGCGAAAAAGCAGTTATCCTGACACTGGCTGACATATACTTCGGGGAGTTGCCTGTGGGCTCTTATAGCTAACTAGCTATGGAAAGTAAATACCTATTTAGAATACATAGTGCCTACAGTAATATTTGCATAACCTACAGTAAAATACAAAAACATAAAGAAAACATAATTATCTTACACTTTTTTGCGTTTGTTTTAAAAAATTTTATATTTTTTTCAAAAAAAAGTTTTTTATGTTACCGTTTTTAGTTGAGAGTTGTGTCCCTTTAGTGGGTACAGGCGTGATATTATATTGTGTGATTGTGTAAAGAATGCTTAGATAGGCGATAGCAGCAATCGCGGTTGATTTGCTGTCATTTATTGAAGAGTGCCCCCGATTTCTCCAAGATCCCATCATCATATCCTGATCTGACCATCATCGATTACCGTGGAATTATCTGGAAAATATATCCTTTCAAACAAAAAAAATAATTTTCCAAATCGGTTCAGGCTTCAGGTATCTTCAAGAAATCGGGGGACAGAACATACATAAACAAAAACCAACGAATTGAGAACCACCTCCTTTTTTCGAAGTTGGTTAAAAAGTAGGTAAAAACAAATCGATGGAATTATTATATAATAACAACATCTACTTAAGTTCACATAAGAACTTTAATAATAACAACTAAGTACGTAAATTGAGTTCATAATAATTACGTTTCACACAGCAGATCCTAAGTTATAATAACACCAATTTGTTTTCTCTCTCCTTTCTCTTTTTAAAATACGTTACCCCCACAGTAGGATTTTCTCCAGTATCGTGGAGGCAGTTTACAAACATAAATTGCACAAGGACAAACATCCAGACCCGGAACAACTATTTGTAGGCCATACAAATATTTGTTCCGTGCGGGATTCGAACCCGCGGCGCCCAGCGCAGCCTCATTGCTAAGCCACTGCGATACGGAGCTCAAGTTGCCGTTTGAGTTTATGTTATTATTCAAAAATGAATCGCATAGGTAGGTACGCGATGACGCCGTCTCGCATTGCGTCACTCGAGTGCGTATGTGTGTGCGCACTAGCTTCTTACTGCTCATCACAGCGTCTATCCCTTTCGCACGTGATGTCGGCTGAGATAGCATGCATTTTTACCCCGCCCACCACTTAGTTCGTTCCATCGACTAGGGCAACCTTAAATGGCACTGTATAACAAAAAACTTCACCTCAGTGTCAACTAACGACATCTGGTGAGCGTAAGATGCTCTCATTAGCTTTCACTGCTGTTATGGAGTGTAGAAGTAAGGAGTACAGACTGTGTATTAATAAGTGTCCATAAAAATCATTAAATAAGTGTGGCGCCACTATAGCTACTACTACATTTTAAAAAACACACCGAAAAATATTAGTGGGATAGACGACTTTTTCGAGGTTATATTTACTAAATAAAATTATTTTCGATTTTAGAGCTACTGAGCAGTTTAGCAGCACACTTAAACCGTCGACAACTGCTAAGTTCATTTCATCCCAGTAGCTACTCCAGCGCTGTTGTGGAGAGTTTTTGAACTGTTATTTACTGCTTATAGATGGCCACTTTTTCAGCCATTCTACTATGGGAGTTGGTACTCCTTACTTTTACACTCCATAACTGGTGTGTTCCAGTCTAAAGGGTATAGAGGGCCATTCCATCTTAGTCCTCAACTCAAAGGTGATAATACACCTGAGTCTTCTTTGTTTTAAGTTGGTTGCAGATCTCCATAGTCTGCAGTAGCCACTTACCATCAGGTGGACGGTAAATTCGTTTGTCACGCGTTTCTATAAAAAAAAGGAGCCATGAAGTGCTTCAACTCTCACTGGTGCAACGGCAGACTTCTCCCTGCTACTTTACGCTCTCAGAATTAACAATAGGAAATCCCGTGAACAACGGTACGACGATTTATAGTACATTAACTCTTTCACTTTCATTATCATTATCAATACATCTTATCAAAAATCCACTGCTGAAAATAGTTCTTGCCCAAAGATTGCCTCATAATGGAGGATACTTGCCACGCTGGACCAGCGGGTAAGCAACTGCAGTTTTTTATCGAGTTCGAGTTCATCTGTTTCATATCCTGTCGCTTCTTACAGCCTAACTTTCGGAATGATATGCATAGGGTGAGGTAGGTGAGGGTAATTTGGTTACCTTAAAATTTGCCGCCCTCTAGCACCAAAACTATGAGGAGAACAGAGACAAAACTCAAATTCGTATACTATAACTATAATATTAAGAAGAAAACAAACAAGCTTTGGCAATTATCAGGAACACTTCGAAAAATCCACTTAAAAAAAACTAACTACACTACACCATACGAAAATCGACTAAAATATGTAACATAGTGTCAACTGACAAAATGACGTCGATAAAGTAGCGCCCTTTTGACCCTTTATTATTTGATTGACCGCTCAAGCTGACCACCACCACTTACACTCAGAGGCCAGGAGATCACGTACGAGAAGGCCGTGACCTATCTTGGGTGCCGGATCGACAGGATGCTGCGCACGACCACCAATGTCGACTTTGTCGTCCGCAAAGCCAGATGTACGCGGGCGATGATCCTATCAGTCCTGGCATCCAAGTTACCAGTTAAAACCAAACCCAAAATTTACAAGACCTAGATTAGACCATTGCTGACATATGCTGCTCCGGCCTGGTACGCGCTCCTGAGCGACCGACAAAAGCGTCGACTGCAGGTCCAGCAGAATTTGTCATTAGGGACCTTTTTTTTGGTCGATGGTATTGTCAGTGCGGGTCGCTACGTCCGGAACGACGTCGTAGCGGCCAACCCCAAATTGAAAAGAATTTGTGGTCCGGCTGGTGCGCGGTATGTTCAACCGCGCCAACAACGGGCCACACCCACAACAACATCGTGCCGCTACGTCACGGCACCCGGACGGGCGATCCTATCCAAGAGAACTCCTCTCTACATAGATTAAAGACTCGAGTAAAACCCACAATGCCACAGAAAGGTCAACATCGACTAAACACATTACTTACATTGTCTCTCACATTTAATAGATTACCCGACTGCGGCTAACTGACGCTATTAAATTGACATCGCCTTGCAAGGCACCCAAGACCGGCCCATTGTAGTGGGCCGTGAAAAATGCCCCGGGTAAAGGGGTGTACCCCGAGGCTCGAGACCTGCTGGACAGAAATCCCACGCAGAAGGCGACTCGAACGATGAAGAGCTATCGTAACAAAGCCATGTAGGTAAACAAGGCTGCAGTTTTTAACTTATAAGAAAGTGACTATATTAATAGAATGACCATACCCTCACGTACTTCAGTGTATTTTTATATCCCAAGACTGCACGGCGACTTTTTTTTACTTTAATTATGTGTTTTAGGTATTACGACCTACAACCTAGAACAAACGCTTTCTACACACACAGCGCCATTAATTTGTATGGTGACCAAAACAATCACGAGAGTTTCACTGTCGAATTCTATTCATTTGACAGCTTATCAGAAGTCTATTGCCGAATATAGGCATACTATACTGGCCTACCCTATAAATTGCCTTATATGGGTATTGTTACTTGGGACGCTTGGCAAGCGGGTTGGCAAACGCAGTTTTTATTATTTTGAGTTGTAATGGGGATGACGCAGCCACCCTTCTCCTGTTTATTTTCCCTCTGTCGCCTCTTACAAGACGGTATTATATTTGGTACCGGGTTTTCTTAAATACCCACTACACAGTAGCTTTATCACTTTCTCCTTATACTACGTCTTATTACTAACACACAACGCGAATAATTTTATTGTTACTAAATTATTTTTGTCAATATCGGATTCTATTTGACTTTTCTCAATATATTTTTTCTCCCTTTTGCAGGATTCTCGGGATAGTGTTCCTGATATTCGGCTTCATCACGCTAGTGGGAAGCCTCATATACTGTGTGGTGCTTTGCCGGGAAAATCCTTATCCTCGATATCCAGACGACTTCTATTGGACACATCACTGGTCTAAAACCATAGGGCCTTCGGAAATACATTACAGCGCTAGCGAAAAACCGTACAGACAGAACGGTCACGGCGACAGATATAATAAATACAACGGAAAATATTCCGATAGAGAAAGTGCAAAAGGTTATTCGGATAGAGAAAGCAAGTTAAGCAGGTACTGATAGTACTAAAGCTTTAGGACTTTATCGAATACTAGGTTTCTGTGTCGCATTTAATGTTGTAATGTTGTCACAAATACCATTTAAATATAAATATTTGAATTATTGAATTGTACTATAAGTATCTTATAAATTTAAAATAAAAAACAAGCACACACAGCTCGTTTATTACAAATCCTCTGCAGTGCCGTAGCAAGGTTAGCTGCCGCCCAAAGACGCTACAGCCGCCTATAACAATACCGCCCTCAGTACTCCCCCCCCCCCCATTTCCCCCATTTTCCATTGCAGGGTTATTTTAATAGAGTTGCCAAATTTTAAACTTAAGTTCAAATATATAAATAAAGATATACCGTTATTGCAGTTTACCAGTAAATAAGGCTTCTACTTTTATTTGAAATTATCCCAAATTGAATGTGATTTATAGGCAACAACGTCTTCATCATCAACCCTTACAAATATGTGCGTGCGCAGTAAAATCGGTTGAAGCAATGCATTACCACGCTTTTTGAATTTAAAAGATAAAGAATACAAATGGTGAAGACAAATTGGTTTTTTAAAACCATTTTTCTTCATCATTTGCTGATATTACTTATTCTGAACCTTTTTTGCAAATTTGACCAGTTATTTCAAAATAACCCTGTATACCTGGTATGTTTGAAGACGACCTTTATTTTCTGTACTTTTAATGTTAATATTTTGGCGGTTTTAACTGACATCATTTGAATTATTTCCAAAATGCGAAGGGGCCATGCCCTACTCTTGCTACGCTACTGTTCCTTTGTTATTTAGAAGAACTAAAACAAACTTATTATTCAACATTGAATTTATTGCCATCTATTCTCAGTGATCGCAAATTATTATCATACTTGTAATACTTTACCAATCCTATAAATAGATGGCGCTTTATATAAAAACGATCAATTGTTGTGTGTCTGTGTTTAAATTTTAATTGAAAACATTTAATATTTTTGGTTTATTTGGTAACGTTTTGATTAAATTTATAATATATGGACATAGCTTTACTAATACTAGGTAGTTATTTTAAGTGTATAAATACAACAAGAATTATTCGTAAATATAAATAAAAAAAAACTTTAACACATTGTAAAAGTATTTCTTCTTTATTCTTCTCCATGTCTTTAATTCTAAATGCAAATTCTATAAAACAAATAATTATTATTTTTGCAGTACCTATGTAGTATGTATCAAAATGGTATACTGTAATGGCAATACGCCAAAACTGTAACATCTTTTAAAATTTTGTACACTTAAAATGATAGCACTTAAATAGTTTAGAAAAAATGTTTTTAAACTACCAATTATTGTAAATAATATATTATTAATATCTTAAGTTACTTTGAAGCAAATGCCATATTAAATTTACTTTTCTTTATTTATCGAGTTTAGATCTAACTAAAAAATTTTCGCAAGCAGGATCAGAGGGCGTATTTCACTTTCTGAAATTATTATATATTTACATAATCCATCAATGTATTATCAGTATAAGTCGTACTTACGTTGGTTTTATTACGTGAATAATATTTTTAATAAATAATTTTGTGTAATTAGCGAGTTTAATTATGTTATTAACCCGTTCATTTCATTCAACCAAATATTATTTATGAGTAGCTTATGTTTCTATTACTTTGACTATACTTACTTAAAGTTCAGTTACAATGAAAACTCCCAAAAAAGCTGAATTTAATCTAGAATGATGGCTCAATCCATACCTATTACCTAATATTTATGATTTCCTTGTTATCAGATTTTTTAAGGTGGTAAGAACAAAATTAATGCTGAAAAATGTTCAGTGAAATGAATAAAAGTTTAATAATACATCGTCTAACGTATTGCTGAATTTCCCGTTCAATAAACTTCTATCATTCATTGATTTAAAAAAAAATCTCCATATCCCCAATCCCAATTTACTAAATGAAATCAACCACTAGAATTATTTCTAATAATTGTACCATCAGCTACCACACTCTATTAAAATTACTAGGTACTTACTTCAAATAGTTTCAGAGAAAATTGTGTGTAAATAAATCGTATGGTGAGTGTGAACCGGAGACCCTTCTTACAACGTGACAAAGCATCTGCATTTTGATCCTTAAATGAGGTTAGTTAGATGTACTCGTAGTTGTCTATGGGCCACAGCATCAATTTACCATCAGGTAGACTGTGTGCTCGTTTGTCACACTAAAAATATTTTTTTTTTGTTATACTAGCAGATTTCCTCACTCAGCAGCCAACACATAATTCGTAATATAAATTATTAATTTAGTATTGTCAGTGATGCGTTCCCTCCCTACAAAACACGAAGACTTCCAAAGACCCTAATACCAAACATCCAAAGCTAGTTTAATTATCGAACTGCAAATAAAATTTAATAATCATGTTTTTAAATAGATACAAACCTATGTTTATTACAATAACCTGATCTTATACAGAATCAATGTAATAAAAATTTTCAATTACCACTCAAAACATAACACTAATATTTAAAAAAGTTTGTCAGAAGTGGGATTCGAACCCACGCCCTCAGAGAGGACCAGAACGCCCAACACCCATTTTGCACAGGCAAGTTTCCTTGAGTCTGGCGCCTTAGACCGCTCGGCCATCCTGACTTCGCTTAATAATATGAAATTACGTATTTACAGTTAGTTACATGTAATTGCATATAATTCTGCTTTGTAATTACAGAGCAATTGATGGCAAGAATGATTTTCTATTAGTCGCTTTTAACGCCTTACCGCATACCAAGCCATATATGAAATCAAAAGTTTATTATTTTTTTCTAGCCTAATGAAAAGCTTGATCTTTAATAATACCTTAAATTAAAAGAAACATATTTGTCGTTATTTCGAACGTAAATCATTTATTCATGTTCATTAACAATTTTCAACTATATTTGAGATTATTTTGTAACGCGTGTGGTCGGCCGGTTTTAAAAAAAATTCATAGATATAATTTTTTATATTTCTATGGAAAAATAAATGCAAGTTTAGGGATTCAAAACAAAATATTCAGATTCAAAATAAACGGTTAAGTAAAACGTATTAAAAAAAATTATATTATGCTTCATACCCTCTAAAATAAGAAACTTGGTGGTTTATTTCAATGCCTAGCTTTATTCTCATTTTTATTTGTCTTTTTTTCAATCTGCCATATTTGGCTTCTTATGCATACATAACATAACATATAACATAAACACTCACGCCTGTCACCCACAGAGGGTGGCAGAGACTACAGACTTCCATTTGGCACGATCCTGACACAACTCTCTCGCCTCCTTCACACCCATACACCTACGCATACATGCTCGTCGGTTAAGGGTACTCCTAATTTGGCCCGTTTTCAATAAATCGCCAATTTGGTCGATAAATTTTCGCCTAGGACGTCCCTTTTCGACTCTGCCATTCACTTCTGCAACATAAATTTTCTTTGTCACTCTTTCCTCATTCATTCTTTCCACATGACCAAACCACCGAAGCATTCCTTTCTTAATCTTGGTCACATCATCTCGCAAACCACACTCTTCTCTTATTACACAATTTCTTACTCTGTAATTCAGATTCAGCCCTAACATACTCCCTAACGACCGCATTTCTACTGCGTTCATTCTACTCTCGTGCTTCTTCTGCCACACCCAACTTTCACTATCATCCGTTAAAGTAGGGACCAACACAGCATTGTGAATTGCCATACGGCACTCCCATCAACTTGCCTGATTCTCCAGTAGGTACCTGCAAAAAAACCTGGAAAGACTTCTGCCTGACATCAAGAGCTTCCTTTGATATCACCACGTCGAAATAGATTTAGTTATTTTCCCATTTGGGATAAAAATACCCGACAGATAAAATTCAGTATTGTTCAAAATATCGTTCTTTCACTAAATGTGAAAAATGTAATATTTATTTATGTTTAACGACAAACGCAATTGTTTTAAGGAGTTCCACCAAATATAATTCATATTTTTTTAAACGCATACCTACGAAGATAGATATGGATTCACATTAGATGACTTGACTGCATACGAAGCCATAAATGGCTCCGAGTAATAACTTCTAATACATAAGTTCATTAGTTTTTATTTAAATTTGATCTCATTATATAATTAGCCTTATTAAACACTATTTCGTAAAAAAAAGAAATTTTATTCCATCTCTTTAATAATTCATGTGGTAAGGGGTTAAGGCCCACCACATACATACGTTATTCCGTTTCGGGATTCCGAACGCAACAAGTCCATATTAAATCAATGACCCGTCACACACCAACGGTAGTTTTCCGTACGGAATTTTGTGAGCGAAACAGGATTCCGTCTGAGTGCGGCAGACCCATTCGTTCCGTTTCGGAATTTCGAAACGGAATTCCGTATGTAGTGCGTGGCGGGCCTTATTCGACCACCACGTCACCTTTTGTTTGTATCAGAACTTATTAATATCGGAAAATATTGCCATCCCTACAATATCATAGTATCCTACTATATTAGGAATCCAAATCACAGAACAGAAATTAATTCCGGTATAATTCTTTAAAAAAATTATAATAATTAATAATGTCTTCCAAACCGAATTATCGTCACGGCGGCCTATCTCAACGCCGACTAGCAAACTAGGTCTACACGGGAAAGGTTCATATAGCTTATTGCAACATCATAGACTACTGAGCAACACGTTCACACACATGCGACAGGGGTCAAAGGAGGCCATAGATAAATAGATATGTAGCAAGCTAAACAGTGGCGGCGCAAGACCTAAATTTTATGTGGGCAAGATACATTTTGCGAGGCCCTCTGCCTGCGCAAGAAGACGGATTATATAAAATTAAAAACAAAACACTTGACATTATGCAATTTTTATTCATACAAAATCATTAAGTACCAACACCAAACAATTTCAAAGAACAATGAAGAAATAGATATTCTGCTTTTTATGCTTAATTTTGCACGACATTACATTCCTGAGACAATTTTTAATGAGTTTTAATTTTAAGAAGCTTCCTTCAGCGGAAGCTGTACTGATCGGTATTGTTAAATGACGATGTAAATGTTTGGGTATATTTTTTTAAATTATTTTCTGTAACGTATTGGTGAAGCTGTTTCACATATGTTAAGAAATTAGGTAAATTAGGTATCTTGAATTGTAATTATTCGTATAATTCGTAAGGTTTAAAGTCACTGCTTTCACCCACTTGCAGGGCTGTTTGTAAATCTTGACAGTTATTTTAATATTAGATGGTTTGGAATATTTTTTAACTTGTTTAAATCATAAAGGAAACCAAAATTTTCATAATGTTGGTTTAAAGCCATAAATCTCAAATCCATATTTGTTATAATTGAACAAGCATGGTGTTGAAAAATTCTGTTTCATACTGACTTTCAGGAGACTTTCTTTTTCTTTTTGGCTACTCTTTTATTTTTAAAGTTTTTTGGCAGATCATAACAATTTTTTTTTTCAATAAATTGTTGAGAAAGACAAGCATTTTTTGGGTGTGATAAGGAAATAGGTTCTAGGGGAAGTGAGTCCCAAAATTCGTTCAAGCATTTTCGAAATAAGTTTGTCCATATTCTTTAATCCAGTCACAAAATGTACGTAAAAGTTCTAGAGCTTTTTTGCAAGTCCATAAGAAGCTTTGTGTCTGTTCCGTTTAGCTACTCATGTGCGTACAGCGTGAAAATATATGTACAGCAACCACGTGGGCTGCTGTACCGCACTCTTTACTCGATTTCCACGCGCCCACGATTAAATAAAATCAGTATTCTATGTCTAACAAACAGAACGAGGAATCCTCAGCCTTTTTCGCCCCCATAGATTATTGTATATATACAGGTCGCCCCGCAGCGGGGATTCCCCGCAATAGCAACGCAAACTAATGTTGCTAGACTGAATAAAAACATATTTATTTATGTCAATAATATTGATTCATGATAATGAAATTTTTTCGGCGTGTTTACGGTTTTAAGTAAAGCATAAACCTCCAGGGCGCGAGGCCCCCTAGATCGCGAGGCCGTAGGCGGAGGCCCACGTCGCCCACGCCTTACGCCGCCTCTGAAGCTAAAGGGGGCAACCGTTTTGGTTTTCTCGTTCAGAATCTTCAAAATAGTCCCGAAGTAATAGTAATACGTCGCGTCACAGTTTAATATATCTATGGTAACGTTTAATGCAATTTCATAATTCTTATCACAAAACGTATTAATTCCCAATATAAAAGCTGTTTTACTCGCCCTATGTAATTCTCTAGATGCCCTATTATGCTGACGCATATGTTCTAAGCGAGCAGCTCTATCTTCTTTTGATTGTGAAGCTCGAAGTTTAGCAGTATGTTGCCACATGTGCTCTAAGCGAACAGCTCTATCTTCTTTTGATTGTGAAGCTCGAAGTTTAGCATTATGTTGCCGCATGTGCTCTAAGCGAACAGCTCTATCTTCTTTTGATTGCGAAGCTCGAAGTTTAGCAGTATGTTGCCGCATGTGATCTAAGCGAACAGCTCTATCTTCTTTTGAATGTGAAGCTCGAAGTTTAGCATTATGTTGCCGCATGTGCTCTAAGCGAGCAGCTCTTTCTTCTTTTGATTGTGAAGCTCGAAGTTTAGCATTATGTTGCCGCATGTGCTCTAAGCGAACAGCTCTATCTTCTTTTGATTGTGAAGCTCGAAGTTTATCATTATGTTACCACATGTGCTCTAAGCGAGCAGCTCTATCTTCTTTTGATTGTGAAGCTCGAAGTTTAGCAGTATGTTGCCGCATGTGCTCTAAGCGAACAGCTCTATCTTCTTTTGATTGCGAAGCTCGAAGTTTAGCATTATGTTGCCGCATGTGTTCTAAGCGAACAGCTCTATCTTCTTTTGATTGTGAAGCTCGAAGTTTAGCAGTATGTTGCCGCATGTGCTCTAAGCGAACAGCTCTATCTTCTTTTAATTGTGAAGCTCGAAGTTTAGCATTATGTTGCCACATGTGCTCTAAGCGAGCAGCTCTATCTTCTTTTGATTGTGAAGCTCGAAGTTTAGCATTATATTGCCGTATGTGCTCTAAGCGAACAGCTCGATCTTCTTTTGATTGTGAAGCTCGAAGTTTAGACTTATGTTGCCGCATGTGCTCTTAGCGAACAGCTCTATCTTCTTTTGATTGTGAAGCTCGAAGTTTAGCATTATGTTGCCGCATGTGCTCTAAGCGAACAGCTCTATCTTCTTTTGATTCTGAAGCTCGAAGTTTAGAAGTATGTTGCCGCATGTGCTCTAAGCGAACAGCTCTATCTTCTTTTGATTGTGAAGCTCGAAGTTTAGCAGTATGTTGCCGCATGTGCTCTAAGCGAACAGCTCTATCTTCTTTTAATTGCGAAGCTCGAAGTTTAGCATTATGTTGTCGCATGTGCTCTAAGCGAACAGCTCTATCTTCTTTTGATTGTGAAGCTCGAAGTTTAGCAGTATGTTGCCGCATGTGCTCTAAGCGAACAGCTCTATCTTCTTATGATTTTGAAACTCGAAGTTTAGCAGTACGTTGCCGCATGTGCTCTAAGCGAACAGCTCTATCTTCTTTTGATTCTGAAGCTCGAAGTTTAGCAGTATGTTGCCGCATGTGCTCTAAGCGAACAGCTCTATCTTCTTTTGATTGTGAAGCTCGAAGTTTAGCATTATGTTGCCACATGTGCTCTAAGCGAACAGCTCTATCTTCTTTTGATTGTGAAGCTCGAAGTTTAGCAGTATGTTGCCGCATGTGCTCTAAGCGAACAGCTCTATCTTCTTTTGATTTTGAAGCTCGATGTTTAGCAGTATGTTGCCGCATGTGCTCTAAGCGAACAGCTCTATCTTCTTTTGATTTTGAAGCTCGAAGTTTAGCATTATGTTGCCGCATGTGCTCTAAGCGAACAGCTCTATCTTCTTTTGATTGTAAAGCTCGAAGTTTAGCATTATGTTGCCGCATGTGCTCTAAGCGAACAGCTCTATCTTCATTTGATTGTGAAGCTCGAAGTTTAGCATTATGTTGCCGCATGTGCTCTAGGCGAACAGCTCTATCTTCTTTTGATTTTGAAGCTCGAAGTTTAGCATTATGTTGCCGCATGTGCTCTAAGCGAACAGCTCTATCTTCTTTTGATTGTGAAGCTCGAAGTTTAGCAGTATGTTGCCGCATGTGCTCTAAGCGAACAGCTCTATCTTCTTTTGATTGTGAAGCTCGAAGTTTAGCAGTATGTTACCGCATGTGCTCTAAGCGAACAGCTTATCTTCTTTTGATTGTGAAGCTCGAAGTTTAGCATTATGTTGCCGCATGTGTTCTAAGCGAACAGCTCTATCTTCTTTTGATTGTGAAGCTCGAAGTTTAGCATTATGTTGCCGCATTTGCTCTAAGCGAACAGCTCTATCTTCTTTTAATTGCGAAGCTCGAAGTTTAGCATTATGTTGTCGCATGTGCTCTAGGCGAACAGCTCTATCTTCTTTTGATTTTGAAGCTCGAAGTTTAGCATTATGTTGCCGCATGTGCTCTAAGCGAACAGCTCTATCTTCTTTTGATTTTGAAGCTCGAAGTTTAGCATTATCTTGCCGCATGTGCTCTAAGCGAGCAGCTCTATCTTCTTATGATTTTGAAGCTCGAAGTTTAGCATTATCTTGCCGCATGTGTTCTAAGCGAACAGCTCTATCTTCTTTTGATTGTGAAGCTCGAAGTTTAGCAGTATGTTGCCGCATGTGCTCTAAGCGAACAGCTCTATCTTCTTATGATTTTGAAACTCGAAGTTTAGCATTATGTTGCCGCATTTGCTCTAAGCGAACAGCTCTATCTTCTTTTGATTTTTAAGCTCGAAGTTTAGCATTATGTTGCCGCATGTGCTCTAAGCGAACAGCTCTATCTTCTTTTGATTTTGAAGCTCGAAGTTAAGCATTATCTTGCCGCATGTGCTCTAAGCGAACAGCTCTATCTTCTTTTGATTTTGAAGCTCGAAGTTTAGCATTATCTTGCCGCATGTGCTCTAAGCGAACAGCTCTATCTTCTTTTGATTTTTAAGCTCGAAGTTTAGCATTATGTTGCCGCGTGTGCTCTAAGCGAACAGCTCTATCTTCTTTTGATTTTGAAGCTCGAAGTTTAGCATTATCTTGCCGCATGTGCTCTAAGCGAACAGCTCTATCTTCTTTTGATTGTGAAGCTCGAAGTTTAGCAGTATGTTGCCGCATGTGCTCTAAGCGAACAGCTCTATCTTATTATGATTTTGAAACTCGAAGTTTAGCAGTACGTTGCCGCATGTGCTCTAAGCGAACAGCTCTATCTTCTTTTGATTTTGAAGCTCGAAGTTTAGCATTATGTTGCCGCATGTGCTCTAAGCGAGCAGCTCTGTCGTCTTCCAATTGTAAGGCTTGATAATTTTTCATATTCAGTCGACTCTATTTTCTCTCAATCAGTTCATCTCTTTAGAGTTCTATCGAGAGAATAGATAGATTTGAATCTATTCTTTTTTGTCTGTTTTTCGCCAATCTCTCCTCTTTCTTTGTGTTGTAGTTTCATTTTTCATTTTTGTTCCCACGAGTTCATCGATATCTATTCTGGTTTAATTTTGGAAAATTTTGTCATTTCCTGTTACCTTTTCCTTAAAATTTGAAATCAATTGAAATATTAATTAGAAGCAGTCTTGCTAGTGAATCTTTCAAGTAATTTTCAAAATTCAGGTAGAATAATGCTGTAGCGAGATCTATGGTATGTGTAATGAAATATATTCCACTAATAAGAACTTTTTTGATCGTCTATCGATAAGGGAGAATGACATTTTCATCGGCGTACTGCGAGTGGTACACTCTCGACCTGCTCACTAATCTAAATATATTTTTTTATCCTGATGACCCTAGTCAGGACTTAAATATAAAGTTATTATAAGATTTTTGTATTATCATCGGCCCTTGACCACTTTGCAAATTTTCAAGATAATCAGACTCCTAGAAGTAGGTTAAAATGAAGTTAAAAAATTGCGTTACATACATACATACAGGTCAAGCTAATAAATATATATATATACATACATATATATATATATATATATATATATATATATTTGTGCGTGCGTGTTAAAAATAATTATTTTACTTTATTTAACTGACTGTCCTTTTTAATCCGTCCAATACCTTGAATTTAAAAAGAGGTAAGTCAATACTGTTACGAGCTTGAGGTTCGTGACAATAAAAATTGCCGATAAAATTACCTAAATTAACACTTTAATTTTCTTTACACAAATTAAAACTTAAAACACTAATAATTAATCACACTAATTCACTTTATTTCGCTCCGAAGCTTCGCTTGTCTCGCCGAATTCAATACTTCCCCGAACGCATCTTGCAGCGCCTATAAATATAAATTAGCACCGAAATATCCAGAATATTCAAGTAAACACGCGCAAGGTACCGAGAGTTCGAGTTTCAACTTCAAGAAGTTTAGTTCTTCGGTTCGAGACTAGATGGCGCTAGTGCCGTCGACTTAGGCGCGTAACACTGCCCCCTCCTAAGACATGCTCGTCCCGAGCATTATCGGCCCCATAATAACGCGCCAGGCGATCCACATGGACGATCTTAGGAGTCCCTCTTGCGCCTTTCTGTATCCGGTAGGTTACATCGTTGATCCTGGTCACAATCCGGTACGGGCCGTCCCATTTAGCTTGAAGCTTAGGAGATTTCCCTTTGCTGCGGACTGGATTGTGCAACCACACAAGTGAACCTTCGTCGAACCCTTTGTTGTTCATTTTGCGGTCGTACCGGGTTTTGGCCTACCTTGAAAGACGGGATTTACTGGCCCGATTGTCTGACGTGCTGCTCATAAACGTCATTCATTTTGTTCCGCAAGTCATTTGCATAATCGGTTATACTGCGTGGAACATCAGGTGGTATCCCGGTGATCAGGTCTGCAGGCAGCCGTAATTCTCTTCCAAAGTTTGCGAAAGCTGGTGTCACTGCTGTACTTTCGTGAACAGCGCTTCAATATGACATCAAAAACGGTTGTATGTGCTTGTCCCAATCTCATTGCCGATTGTCTACAACTTTCGCTAGATACCTCTCCAATCTCTGATTAAATCGTTCTACCATTCCATCAGATTGCGGGTGATAAGAAGTCGTTCTTGTTTTATGAGTACCCATAACTCGGCAAGTTTCCTGGAATATTTGAGACTCAAAATTCCTTCCTTGATCGCTGTGAATCTCTAAAGGTACTCCAAAACGACAGAAGACTTCATGAACTAGTTTATCTGCAACTGTTGAAGCTTCTTGATTTGGAATGGCGAAGACTTCTGGCCACTTAGTGAAGTAATCCATCACAACCATGAAATACTTGTTACCGCTTTCACTCTCCAGAAACGGCCCCGCCACGTCAATGGCTATTCTCTCCCATGGTGCACCAACATTGTACAACTTCAATGCACCTCTACTACGAGTCTGAGGTCCCTTTACAGCCGCACAACTTGTACATTTGCGACACCAGTCCTCGACATCGTTTCGACAGTGGACCCAATAAAACCGTTCTCGGATCTTCAGTAGAGTTCGTTTAACCCCCAGATGGCCTCCGGAACAATCATTATGGTACAGCTGTAGAACATCCGGTACTTTAGCTTTAGGGACAACCATTTGCAAGTGACAGCTGTCTCCCCGAACATTTTCCCATTTACGGCACAGAACTCCATCCTGAAGCAGCAAGCTGTCCCATTGGGCCCAATAGCTTTTTAGTGGTCGAACTCATCGCTGAGACGTCGCTCCACGTGGGCTTGGGAGCACTGGCCTTCATCCATTCCAGAATCGGCTTGATGTCCGGATCTTCCTGCTGTGCATGTTGTAAGCTGTCCTTCCACTCGTTGCTGAGGTGGTCTGTCCTGAGCATCCTCACGGATACCACTTACTCTCCTGCCTAGTACAATGTTTGCAATTTTCAGGACAAGGTCTTCGTGATAATGCATCTGCATTGCCATGGATTTCCCGCTGCGATGTTCGATCTCAAAGTCGTATTCTTGCAGTAGTTCAATCCACCTCGCAACTTGTCCTTCTGGATTTTTAAACTGCAATAGCCATTTTAGTGCAGCATGGTCAGTTCTTAAGCGAAATTTTCGTCCCAGAAGATATTTGCTAAAATGCTGCAACGACTTTACCACAGCTAGCAATTCGCGTCTTGTGACACAATAGTTCCTTTCCGGTTTTGACAATGACTTGCTGAAGTACGCTATCACGACCTCTTGGTCACCATTCCGTTGAGACAACACACTGCCAAGTCCTATATCACTTGCGTCTGTGTCAACTATAAATTCTTTGCTTGCATCAGAGTATCCCAAAATAGGTGTTTTGCACAGACGGTCCTTGAGCTCCTGGATTGCGATATTGCAACTTTCATCCCAGCAGAAATGTCGCTTCTCCTCGGTTAGCTTGTGCAGAGGTTTGGCTATATCTGCAAAGTTCTTCACAAATCGCCGGTAATAGGAGCACAAACCCAAAAATGCTCTAACCTGCGTCTTGTCTTTTGGAACGGGCCAATCCTTGACAGCGGCGATTTTCTCTGGATCGGTGCGGATACCTTCTTCCGATACTACATACCCCAAAAAGTTAAGTTGCCGTTTGAATAGTGAACATTTCTTCGGACTCAACTTGAGGTTGGCACTCTGAATCTTCATGAGCACGCGTTCCAGATTTTGAAGGTGTTCCTCAAACGTCCGGCCCACGATGATGATGTCATCCAAGTAGACCAGACAGGCATCGCCAATTAGCCCGGTAAGTACAAGTTCCATCAGCCTTTCAAACGTTGCTGGAGCATTGTAAACCCAAATGGCATTACTTTAAATTGCCACAGACCCTTTCCCGTCGAGAACGCAGTTTTCTCCTTGTCTTTAGGGTCAATTTCAACTTGCCAGTAGCCACTTTTTAGATCCAGCGTGCTAAACCACTTTCCTCCTGTAAGCATGTCCAGCGTGTCATCAATTCTTGGCAAGGGATAGTTGTCCTTCTTCGTAACGTCGTTCAGACGGCGGTAGTCAACACAAAACCGCATGCTGCCATCCTTCTTCTTCACCAGCACCACTGGTGAACACCATTAACTAGAGGAAGGTTCAATAACACCATCCTTCACCATTCCTTCTATCATGGTTTCCACTTCCTTTTTACGTGCTACCGGCAATCTTCTTGGCCGCTGACGGATAGGCAATTCTTCTCTGTGTTTATTTTGTGTTGAACTAAGCCAGTCTTTCCCATGTCAGCATCGTTTGATGAGAATACATCGGCGTACTTGAGTAACAACTTCTTCGCCTTGACCAATTCGTTCGGGGAGAGACCACTGCGACAGTCTTCCAAAAGTGTGGTCACTCTCGTTTCTGAATCCTTGCTGGGGGTCCCACTCGATATATATTGGCAACGACGTAACCAATCCACTTCCTCACAAGTACCAACCAGTGTGCCTTTTTCTATAATCTGTTCCCGGTCACAAAGGTTCAACACACATACTCCTGAAATGTCAGTGGTCCTGATCAAGGTTCGAGCTACTTTCCATGGAAGGTCATTGTTTAACCTTTCCACAAGTACACAACGGTGAGGTTGCCCAGCGTTTCGAGGAAGACTAACCGGAACAATCTTTTGCGATCTCGGCGGAAGAACAATATTCTTAATGCTGTACACGTTCCCTGGTAACGCACCTTCCATAAAAAGTTCCTCCTGTCCACATTTCAAAACACCTTGCTTAACGTCGATCTCGTAACAATTAATCCTCATAAAGTCTAAGCCTAGGATGCAGTCGTCCATTATATCAGCCACGATGACATTATGCAGGTAGATCACGACTCACGACTTTTTACGATTTTTTTAATGAAATTATCGTTTCATTTAGCTGTACTAACATGATAGAGCGTGAATAAACCTAATTAAACGTTGTAAAAAAAAATACCATTTACATATTTTTGTCCCATCATCAAATGTATCCTTAGCACTAATTTCTGTCTTCGGTTTCGGGAGCGTTTCACAAATACCCTGTATTAATGTTATTTTGGGAAGTTTAACTCTATTAATTTTTACACATTTAATTTTATCGAATAATTATTAATTTTTAACAGAAAACAATGATTAATTAAACATTTTTATACTTTTACGTTTATTTTTTTATGTGAATTTTAAAATAAGAATTTTGACAACCTGTAGTAGTAAGCTATTTCTCTCCTGGGTAATTGTAGATCCAGCCTCTAAGAATAACTGCTCACGAGGTACCGAAGTTTACTTATCGAACCCGGGTTACTCGCGTTCTGTTATATTTACAGCGAGCGAATTACGAAGTAGGTACCGTAAGCCGATAAAACAATTTCCGTTATAAAATAACTATTACCTTATAATATTGTTCCTAAGCTATTGATCAAGTTGAAGCTCAAACAATGTAATTATTAGTAAAAAATGATTATTATTATTAAACAATTTCAATCCATTTTCAAAATTTGTAAAGTATTGTTAATTAAATATCACACAACAAAAATTAACTACAATTTTACATCGAAAATGAAATTACTTTAATTCAAGTATATTTATTTTCGACTGAAAGACCCATCGTCTGTTTGTTGATTCGTAATTAAAATTTTCGGGATTAAGTTATTTCTGCTAAATAAACCTTCAAACTTTAAAAGTTTACGCGTTATCTAACTTCGACTTTTTTTAAATATTTATTTTTCGGCGACATAAAATTCGTGTCCCAATGTTTAACTTACGGAATTCGCATTCGAAGAGTTTGTTATTTCGGAACCTTTGACGGCAAACCAACGTTCTTTTAACATCGCTCATGATATCTCTCATCGAACAACGATACACAGATGTCTGAATGAATTTACGTATCGTTTGCATCCCTAGTCGCGCATCGAATAAGTGGCCTAACTGTCCATGTTGGTTGTGTTGTTATTACACTGCAAGGTGGTAAGTAAGGGCACTGCAGACCGGGTTCACTTTGACGCCCTAATTAGGGACCCTTATTTCCATATTATTCTTATTACACCATTCTTACTTAGGGTTCAGGGACATACATACGGAAATCCGAACGCGGCGAGCCCATATTATAAAATCAAGGACCCGTCACACACCTACGATAATTTTCCGTTGGAATTTTGCGGCCAAAATGGGATTCCCTATGTGTGTGGACGACCCGTTCGTTTTCCGAAACGGAATTCCGTATGTAGTATGTGGTGGGCCTAATAAACATAATCGCATCACATTTACGTATCATCATCGACCTCAAAAAAATTTAAATTAAACGATAAAACAGGAGCAATATTCCGTCGACGGTCAAGTTCCGACCTAAACTCCAAAAACAGAACATACAGACCGCCATAGTGTGTAAGAGAGAAGAAAATTCCTTGTGGCAATATAGCTGGATAGAAGAAAATAGCAATGAGTGTGGTGTTCATTCAGACCTCATACGTGGCAACCATCGCAAATTCTTCTAACTAAGGTAGATAGATCCGATTTCAAGCAATGGAATGTTGTGAAGCTGATAAAATAGAAAGTATGGTGGGCAAATTAAAAACTAAAAGTTTGTGTATAGTTGTCCATTTATTTACAAAATGTTTAATATTTTAAAAAAAACATTGCGAATTTATGTTGTACGTTTAAAAAATTACTATGAAATATAACACATAAATTGTTTTATCTAATACTAATATTTCCTTCTTTTTTTTCAATACTAATTGACAATGCCTTGGTAAAAAATTCATACCACGGAAAATAAAATCCCTCTTAGGAATAACTTATTTAGTAAAAATAATTATTATTATATCTTGACATTTTACTGAACAATTGAGCTAAATTTGGAAATAAATATGCAACATGTGAAAATAGTTATTAATTGGAAATGAAACGACACTAAATAATATAATATAATAATATAGATAGAAACAGAATACTGTCATCAGATGGTTAAGTTGAAGTAAAGAGTAATGAAATAAGACAAAGACCACAAAACAAACAACATGAAGTTCCACATCATTTAAATATGTACAAATTTGTTTTAAACTTCTCATGAAAATCTTTTTCCATTTTAAAATGATTAAAAAACTCAATATCATTTTAGTACTATACTAGACATAACATTAAATTACGTTAATTAGGTACTAATTTAATTAAGTTTAAATTACTACTTATTTATTATACATACTTAGTAATTGTGCCTGGTATTGTATTGCGTACAAAATAATGAGATTATACTTCTCAAGTTTCCAAGTTCAAAACACCTTACAAATAAGTAACACAAAATTAACCTGAAATTTAAATCATTAAGTCACCTATTACTAAAAAAAATCTGGCATATTCGTACAACTTGTATCGAAATTTACGGCATGTCTCATTTCTTCATGCTGAGTCAACTACTGGGATCAGATGTGTGTAAACCTGTTTCTGGAAAAAAAATAACGATTCAATAACGTGATTAAAACTACTTTTACGGATTTTATCGCGTTTATTTTTACTTTTTATTTTTAATTCCCGACGTTTCGGGCGCTTTCCAGCACCCATGGTCACGGGGGGACTGAGATGACTGACGTCCCGATGTCATTGTTAAACCCGGAGTACCTTCAGCTTTTTTAATTATTGTTTATGGTCTGATCTATGCAAAATGAACTGACTATGTCCTGAGGTCTTGCAGTGGTATGCTTGGGTTTAGTTTTAATTTTATTGATTATAGGATCCCAAGCAGGTGGTAGTACCCAGCCTCCTTCTCTATTGAAATTAGGATGTTTTTTAATTTCAATAGCCTCACGTATCATCCTTGGTAGGAATCGGTGTTCTTTCGCGAGGATTTGTGGTCTATCAAATCTGATGTAATGGTTGGGGCCGTCTAGGATATGATCACAAACTGCAGACTTCGGACCATAAACAATAATTAAAAAAGCTGAAGGTACTTCGGGTTTAACAATGACATCGGGACGTCAGTCATCTCAGTCCCCCGTGACCATGGGTGCTGGAAAGCGCCCGAAACGTCGGGAATTAAAAATAAAAAGTAAAAATAAACGCGATAAAATCCGTAAAAGTAGTTTTAATCATGTGCAATGTTCGCGTAAATATAAGAAATCATTAGATTCAATAACGATTTGTTGATAATGAATCGGTATACTCATACTAACTAATTGACACCAGCAAAAAGTGCAGCAGTAAGTCCATTACCAAAGAAACAAGAGACAATGAGGAAATCTTCTGCTCAGCAGATGTCATTATTTGCGACTGAGGCGATGTTTTTTGTTACGCATTGTCATTCAATTGAGAACTTAGTTTTAAGTATCATCAGTTACTAAAGTATTATATTAATACACAAAACAATTTCTAAGTGGTTCCTTAATTTACTGCACATTTTAATATTCTTTTTCAATTTTTATACTTTCCGGAATATCCTTGGTTTATTCATTTCTAATCTAATTTTCTGATTACTATAATATATAACTAATATTACAGAAAGAAACATAAACCTTAATATTTTCCTAACTAATTAACATCCCCTATGAAATATGTGAAATATTTCAACTGATTTGATAGTAATGCAGCCCTGGTGACAGAAAGTCATATATCATTGGATCATAGCAAACCTAAAGAATGAGTGTGTCATTCGTTAATCGCTGTCGGAGCCGTCGCTGAATCTGTACTTGGGCGGGGGGCGCGCGCGCGCCTGGCCGCGGGCGGGCGGCGGGCTGCTCGACACTACGTCTTCCTCACCCGACCCCGACTCACTCTCCACCTTCTTTTTGGCTTTCTTTTTCGGATTGGCCTTCTTCTTATCCTGAGAATTTATAACATTTTTGAAGTGAAAACTTTTTTAGTGGCGTTATACACTTTTTTGTAATGGGTAAAAAATGTTAAACTCGCGTCAGGACGCGTGACCCTGATCGAAAATGCGTAAGACGGATGGAGAGAGAGAGACAGCCTGCGCGGCGTAGGAGAGAAAGTATCACCCTCTCTTTCTACAGCGCGGCGAAAATGTGTGCCTGCGCCTGCTGTGTCGTTTAGGCGGCGCAGGGCGCTTGCGCGAATGTACCTAATATAAATTGTCATGTTTGTGTACGATAGCGCAATAAATAAATATTGTATTCTACCACATAAATGATAGTACTTTTATACTGATAATTAAAGCAATTCGTACAAAATTATTCTCTAACCAAAATATCAAACATATAATATCAAAAATATAATATCAAAAATGCACAAGTTTACACTTCTGCCGGCACTCCCGGAGTGCAACCCGTCGTTATTTTTTATTTAAAAAGAGGCTCACGCATGAACTCCATCTGGCCCGAGGGCAAGGATGAGGTCTACAATTGAGCGAGCTTGCCTAGGAGAAGTCTGTTCACATGCACCTTAAAAAGGTTCAAGTCTAACATTTGGAAAAACAGAGGCCGGCAGGGTATTCCACTCCTTACATTACATTGTTTCTATAGTCTGTTTTCAGGGTAGGCGGAAAAACGGAGACACTAAGTATTATGTTAGTCTCTGCGAAACAATACATATCCTTAGGTGAGAGCATAGTGATATGGGAAATCTAACACTTAATTGACATTCTCTGACAAACAACCTTACTACAATATAATATTATTAATGATAGTAAGTAGTAAGTTTTATTTTATAGATTAAGAATGACAAAAGAGCACACAGTCCACCTGTTGTTAAGTGGATGACAGCCACATGGCCTATAGACATCTACATTAATCCTCAATTAAGAATCAAAACGCAAATGCGTTGTCACCCCTGAGGAGTAATATGGAATGCCTCGTTTCCAGTAAAAAAGGGTCTCCAGATCTCTACACTCAACATACAAAACACAGCAGTATTAAGCTGCTATTTTTTCAACTCTGCCTGCAACAGGAAGCACGGGCAACTAACTTTGTCAATGCTTTTTGTTGCTGCCGGTCCCAAGCCCGGAAAAGAGGAGGGAAAGGTTCCGCCGGAGAGTGAGTGTATCCGTTGGACTAACACACCCACCTGCGCTAGGACCTGCGCAGTTGAGCGCTGTATGCGGGGATGAAGGAGTCCTGGAGGGTTGAGCCGATCGTCACTGGGGTATATAGTGTCGAGAGGCAACACGCCCTCTTTGGTCCGGATTTCAAGCTAAACAGTAGCCTTATCTGCTAGCTACAGATAAGGAAATGACCAAGCGTCCCGGCAAAGGGTCGCAGGCGAGGGATGTGGGGGCTGCCTAGTCTCCCTGAAAAGGGCTAGGTGGTGGTAGAGGCCATGCTGACGGGGCAAGTGAAAGTCAACTCGGGCAGTGGGGATGGGCCTTTTCCGCCCTATCTGCTAGCTGGATCGAGCTCCCGATATCGCGCTGTGAGCCAACTCTGCGTCTGTATATTCCCCCGGTAATCCTAACGCCTGAAATTATTTTAATAAAGTAGGGCGTTCCCAAAGGTGCGGGCTCCATGGAGGGTGGGAAACCGGGGGGACGAATTATTACACATTTCAAAAACTATGGACAACACAAGGCCCATTAGTAGAGAGGGAGAAGTGTCAGAGGTGTTTACCTTAGATACTGATAAACCCAGAAGGAACCGCCGTTAAACCGGCCGTTCCACTGACTGTACCAAACAGCGTAGGTGGCCCCACAAGGGGGCAATTTCCGCGCTGGATGTCTAAATCCAGTTCCAAATCCAAGGAGCTGGACGAGGAAAATGAGCAAGGGGCCGCGAGTAGCAAAACTCCGCCCCAAAGGACCGAAGACCTTTTCTCTGCTGCCTGGCAAGTGATGAGCCGTAAGGGGAAGCGCAAGGCACCCAAAATGGTGACTTGCCAACCCGACGCACCATCAGGTGGGTCTATCCCAGCAGGCAGTAGTGCAAAGGTCAAAAAGAAGAATAAGAAGCAGCGAGAAAAAGGCCGCAGAGAAAGAGCCGCGCTCGCTGCTTCCAAGAGCAAGACTCAGGGAGCTGGGCAAGCTACTGCTACTGCAGTGTTTGGGGCTGGAACCGGTAGTCGTGCTGAAACTGGGAAGGATGAAAATCCAGCCCGAGCAGTAGGCACGGCCACCGGAACCAGCACTAAGAAATCCGCCAGGAACCAGAGAGCAGCCAAGCGTCCTGGAAAGAAGGAAAGAGCAGCCAAAAAAATGCTGGAGGAGTCCACCTCGCCGAGAGGAGAGCACAAATAAGTGCGACTTGAACAGCAACCAAAGGCTGCAAGAACAAGCTACGCTTCTGCTGCTAAAGCAGATTTGGGTATGGCCTTAACGTGTGCGCGTTCAGGTCATATAACAAAGGAGGTAGCTGATGACATCCTCTTGGCTATACAGAGGAAGATGATCAGCGAGGCCTGGTTACTCCAGGCCTCGCTGATCATCTTCCAGAACCTTCATGCGTCGGGCCCGGTTTTTAGAGGCAAATCCGTTTACACGGAGGGTGTCCTAAAGCTGTGGTGCGATGACCAGAAGGCTCTGGACTTGTTGAAGGGGAATATTAATACCCTCGACCTCAAATCCAACACCTCGCTGACTATTAAGAAACAGTCAGAGATACCACAAAGAATCAAATGTATCCAAATCAAAAAAAAAAAAATCAATGTCCCTTATCCCTGATGCCCAAGGTGCCTGGAAGGACTCACGCGACATTGTTCGTGTGCTTGCGTACCAGAACCGCTGGGTAAACATCAAGGACTGGCTACTACTCAAAGCGGACAAACAGACGGACGGGTGGTTCCTCGTTGTTTCGGTGCCGGAGGATCATATCCCGACCCTGATGAAAGCCGGGCGCCGTCTCGCATGTGTATGTGGGGCGGTATACGTTAAATTCCAGGGTCGTGGAGGAAAATTCGTTGATTCTCCACCTAGCAAAGAGGCAGAAAAGAACCCGGAAGTCATGGATACCGTGGCCATGGTTGCCGGTACATCGAAATCACGGAAAAAAAAAAACGGCCTGCACAACCGAGCCGAAGCCCCCAGTGGAAACTGATCTCAACAACAGCTCACTGAGCGACGAAGAGGACTGCATTTTGGCGTCCAATTCCGACTCGATGGCTGACGATGAGACCTGAGATCTGCTGGCAGGCTTATTTTTAGGTGGGGACGGGGATGACGTGATCGATGATGGCGTGCCCTTCGTCCAAAACTAACCTAGTGCAGGCCAACCTCCACCACAGTGAGCCAACGTCGGCTCAATTACGCAAGTGGATGGAGGCACAAAGGACGGCCATAGCCCTAATCCAAGAGCCATGGGCTAAACAACCTAAGAGGTAAGTTATTCTACAACTCTGAGCACGACAAGCCTAGAGCGTGTATTTATACTACTAAAGATATCTGTGCAAAACCATTAACAGATTTCTGTTCCGGAGACATGTATGCCATAGCATTACAAAACACACAGGAGGAAAGGTTAGTCGTCGCCTCGGTCTACATGCCTGAGGAAGACACCCCTCCCTCTCACGACCTCGTCAGGCTGGTGAACTTCTGTGAGAGGGCCGGATTAGAGGTTGTGATCGGGACGGACACCAACGCGCATCATCCCCTTTGGGGAATGGAAAAACATAATGAACGAGGTAAGGTTTTAGTTGAATATTTATTTAGCACTAACTTAACCATTTTAAACACTGGTTCTGAACCAACCTTCATAAATAAACGCTGTCGCACAATAATCGACCTCACACTTGCAACAGAAGGAGCAGCTAAACTAATAACGGGATGGCATGTGTCGAAAGAGGCCTTATGCTCAGACCACAGATGGATCTGCTGCGTACTACAGGTCGATATCCCCGCTATACCACCATGGAGAAATCTCCGCAAGACGGATAAAACAAAATATCTCAATAGGCTGATATCTTCGCTCGCGGGTGTTGGGAGAACTAATACCATACAGATCAAACGCTCCTTGAAAAACAAGTAGCAGCTGTCACTAAAGCCATAATCGATAGCTACCATGAATCATGTTCAGTAATCACTCCACCAAAACATGCCGAGCAAAAGCAACAGTGGTGGGGTAAAGAACTAGACAGGAAACGTAAGAAGGTAAGAAAAGCCCTAAATAGGGCAATGAATACCTCAAAGGATGAAGACAGAAGGAAGAGATGGTAGCATCGAAACCTGTGAACAAGCAAATCGGATAAGGAAAATCCTAGCTAAACAGAACACGCCGGGATCTATCTCTTTAAAGAAACCCGACGGAAGCTACTCAACATCGCCGGATGAAACCCAACGCATCCTAATTGATAGTCACTTCCCAGGTTGCTGTGTAGTTGAAAGGTTAAACCGGCATGAAGATGCACTGACACCAACAAAAGAAGACTGGGAATTAGCACAAAGAGTTGTGACTATGGACAAAATCCATTGGTCCATTCATAGTTTCCAACCCTATAAGGCAGCAGGACCTGACGGCTTATTCCCGGCACTTTTACAGTTACCTTATAATCAGACTTGTTGCCATAATGAGAGCATGTCTGACTCTTAAATATGTTCCTAGGGGATGGAGGGAAGTGAAAGTCACGTTCATACCCAAACCAGGTAAGAACGACTATACAGACCCCAAATCCTACAGACCCATTAGCCTCACATCCTTTCTCCTAAAGACGATGGAGAGGATGTGTGAACGGGAGTTAAGAGGGTCGACGCTATTTAACTTACCGCTACACGAAAAACAACACGCCTATAGCTTAGGTAAATCAACAGAATCGGCACTTCACCAGGTAATAACAAAGATTGAAGAGGCCATCCAAAACAAAGCAATATGTCTAAGCTCCTTCATACACATAGAAGGTGGTTTTGACAGAACAAATTTCTCCAGCATAAAAGGTGCCCTAAGTAGACATAATGTTGAACCGGCACTGATTGACTGGATAGTTAACATGCTCAGTACATGAACAATAAAGATTGCTGGTGAGTCTCAGACAATTCAGATCATGAAAGGATGCCCGCAGGGTGGGGTTCTTTCACCTCTCCTGTGGAATATGGTCATTAATTATTACAGTTATGTAGATGATCAGACAATACTGGTCTCTGGTAAGACAGCAAGCATTGTGTGCGACCTGACCCAAGCGGCTCTCCGTATTGTGGAGAGATGGTGCAGAGAATATGACCTAACTGTTAATCCAAATAAAACGGTGTATGTTCAGACAAAAACGAATGCTGAATAACTATCATCTTCCAAGTCTTTTCAGCACAAAACTCCAGCTTTCCTCCGAGGTAAAATACCTAGGTCTTACCTTGGACAGTAAACTTACTGGAACAAACACATAGAAAACAAAATCAGCAAAGCTTATTTAACTTTCTGGCAATGCAGAAACATGATTGGCAAACGATGGGGTTTAGCGACAAAAATTATACTGTGGCTGTAAAAAACTGTAATTCAGCCCATGAACACATACGGCTCTCTGGTATGGTGGACCAAAACCAATGAAGCCACCACTATACAAAAGCTTCAGCATTACTAGAGATTAGCTTGTATTGCTGCCACGGGCTGCATGAGGACTACACCAACAGCAGCTTTGGAGGCTATGCTGGAGCTAACACCGCTTCATCTACATATACAACAAGAAGCAACTTTAGCTGCCATTAGACTCAAGACCCTAAATCTTTTAAGTAAGAGTAGAGTCCCCCATACAGATATAATCGATAGAATTTACTCAAAAATTTCTATCTTACAAGCCAAGTATGATAGGATCCCAAAACAATTTGTATTCTGATAAGAAGTACAGGATACAATTGAAGGAAACTGACCATCTGGAAGGATTGGGTCCAAGAGAGCTCAAAGTTTTCACAGATGGCTCTAAGACAAATGAAGGTGTGGGGTCTGGGGTTTTCTCTGAAGACCTTAATATCCACATATGCATACCGCTGGGTACCCACAACACAGTCTTTCAGGCTGAATGCATGGGTATCATCCAAGCGGCCATAGCAATAGATGCTAGGAAAGTGAAAGACTTCTCCATCAGAATACTGACCGACAGTATGGCGGTACTACAAGGTCTGAGATGCAATGTGACGAACTCGGGACTGATATACGAGTGCCATCAACAATTGAATGAGGTATGGAAGCACAACAATGTGACTGCAATGGATCAAGGGACATAGTGGATCTAGAGGCAACGATGCAGTAGATGAACTGGCCAGAAGAGGATCGACCCTGGCAACTATAAGGCCGGAACCAATAATACCAATCCCCTTTGGCTATGTTCATTCACTGGTATGTAGATACTTCAATAATTTACACGCTCAGCTTTGGAAAATTTTTGTAGACTGTAGACAAGCTAGGGAGGCCCTGCCTGAAATAAACAGTAGTCTAACCAAGGTTCTAATGAGACTGAACAACCAGATCAGGATAGTAACAAGTGCTATCACAGGACGTGGCTCTTTTAACAAACTTTGTTCACCATAGGTGTCACTGATAGCCCCCTGTGCAGGGCATGCATGGGAGAAGCAGAAACGGCGGCTCACGTGGTCCTGACATGTCCAGAAGTCGCTTCATACAGGGCTAAACATCTCGGTACGGTGGGATCGCTCCCCGAAGTTGCTCGCAACATCAAATCAACACTGCTGAGCTTCTTCGGGGAGATATCATGGCTCGAATAACCATATTATTCCTACGCACACGCAAAATACGCGCTTAGACGTGGAGTTGCGGAAAATAGCCCGTCATAAACTAAACTAAACTAAAAAGCTGCTATTTTACGCTGGTATTCTGTGAGAGTGTGGTCCTACCCCGGTCGAGCCGACCCATTTGTGCTACAACCATAGTATAGCTAAAGCATGGCTCTACCATGTATAAAAGTATTAACTACACAAAACAGTAAATTATTCCTATGGTCATTGTCCGTTTTTCCGCCTTTGCAATGGCTGCGTAAAAGATGAGTTATTAATTTTTATAATTTTTTATTAGCGCTAACGTATGTAGACAGTCAACTTGGCTTATCTCAGTGACAGGTCAAATACCCAGATGATTTTAAAGCTCTTTAGTTTTAAAGGAATAAATATATTTTTAATGCTTCGATTTACATTGTCAGCTATGACGTCACAAAATGGCAGACTGATATCATCAATATTTTTATAGGTCCTCTCCGTCTCACCTTTTTACTGTCAAATATGCTGTCATCATCACTGTCAACACTCATTAGCACTTTAGCCGGCCTCTTCTTGGGCTTTTCCTCCTTCTTCTCCTTGTTGACATTCATTAGTTTCCTTTTTGGTGCTGGTTTTTTCTTTGGGGGTGACCCTGGTGCAGGTGTATCTACTTCATCACTGGATATAACTGTTGTTGGTTCAGGATGATGGTTGTTCTGCCCTTCTTTCTTTGTATCTTCTATTAATGAGTCAAAGAGGCAATCTGTAAGTAAAAATAAACTAGTTATACAGTGGAATCTCTATAACTCAAACCTAGTTAAGACAAAATCCTCAGTAAGTCGAAAAAAATTGCCATTCCTTTCCACTGAACCCTTAGATAAGCGGTATCTCGAATTATTTAGACTTTGTAACTCGAACAAAATGTTATTTCCCTAGGAAGTATTGATAATACATATTTATACTCTATAACTCGCATTTCAAAAAGACTCCGTAAGTCGTAGTTATCCAAAAATAAAATCCAAAATGAATGTTCTGGTTCTGGGCTTCTACTCTATTGTTTTAGTCTTATACACGTGCAATGAATGAATACATTCATAAAAACGTTATGTTTGTTCCTTGTTGACACAGGACACGACTAGTGATGGTCGACGCGAGTAACTAACTCGAGTTAACTCTTGGTCTCATTAATTCTCTCTGACTCGAGCTTGAAAACCGAATGAAACCGACATGGAGCGAAGTTTGCCGATCATTTGATCATTGATATTCATTCATAACAAGCAAGTGTCACATTTATGTAGATTTGAGGTTAACTTTAAAGTGCCGGTTATTGTTGTAGTTTTTCGTGTTTTAAATTCTGTTTTTGAAAAATGCAATCTAAAAGAAAATCATTGGTTTGGGATGTATTTGAATCGCCAGTGAGTGGACGTGTTATGTGTAAACAGTTTTCAGATTCTTTCAAATATAATGGAAATACGACCACATTATTAAACCACATTAAAAATAAGCATCCAAGATGTACCTATTATTTATATATTGCATTATTTATATATGTTAGTTTAATTTTATTTTGAAAAGACTGCTGTATGATTACATAGTTTGATTAATAATAATAATATAAATATTTTTAAAAATTAAAATTCAAGCCAAAATACATAAAAAAATTAATCGATTTCAAACAATAATTCCCTTTTTTACTTTAGTTAGTATACATTATAAACAATCATTATAAACAAATAATATAAAAATGAAAGAATTGAAACAGATAAAAATATCATTTGTATGTTCTAATTTTTTTTACTATTAATGCAAAGGTGAGGGAATAAATTGGTAAAAATTAAAAAAAAAACATTAACTCTTCCATCTAGTTAACTCGAGTTACGTAACTCGAGTGCAACCCGAGTTACGTGAATTTTAACTCGGGTTAAATCGAGTTTCGTTTTTTCCGAGTTGGCACATCATTAGACATGATTACTTTTAGCGGAGCTTGTGGGAGCACACATACAAGCAATCACGTCGTATTATCAGTTAATCACTACTACAAACCCGATTCCTGTGTTGACAGATGGATTTTAATACATATTTATTTGTAAATAGCATGCAATTTGGCATTTTCTAAATAATTTGCATGCGAAATTTGGAAACGATTGTAACGTCAAAACACATCTCGTGTTGACATTTATACATGTGAATTGACGTGTTAGAGGCATTTTAGTGGCTACACGGGTTCCGCCCACACCACCGTTCTATTATGTATGTATGTATTATAGTATTCTACGGTCAGTATTTATTTTGGCAGCGCCTCCGTAAGTCGAAATTCCAGGAGATAAATCATATGTCAAAACTCGTTATCTCGATTTTTTTGCATTTCCCTTGACATTCGAGTTATAGAGATTCCACTGTAATAATATTTGTTACTGTAATGGTATTGTTGTTTTCAATCCGTTTATGGGTAAGGCCGTGTAAAATTGTACAATTCGTTTTTTTTTCCGAAGAAAGTATTTGTTAATAACTCATTAAATACTCTGCTGATATCGATAACATTGTGACAACTGATTATATGAATCATGATTTAAATGTGATCAACGTTAAATTTGTCATACCTTGCAATTTACTATTTCTTTGTGTATTTTTAAAAGTTGAAATTTTTTCTTCCCATACAAACATACAACATGTCCTAAATACATCTCTTTGGCATTACGTATAGAATATGTTGAAAAAAATGTCTTCTATTGATAAGAAGTAGCTTTTAATGGATTTATTACTAGTTTTCCGCTATGATGCTCGTATTTTGTTACTTTAACTATGTTTCTATAACATTTTATTTAAACATAAATAATATGTGTACCGGAATTTTATGTCGCAAGCGTTACGCTAAGAGAGTTACTAAATACTGGCTTAATATAATAATAATAAATAATAATAAAAATTCTTTATTTTCTCCACAATCTAAAAAACTAGTATAGTAATGAACAGAGGTTATCACCAGGGAAAAAACATATTTAGATTGTGAGAGACTGGCGTCCGAGCTAGGCTAAGGAACCTGTGTTTCAGAGCACCAGCACTCTCCTCACAGAATTGTGTGCGTGTGCTTGTGCGTGCGTGTGTGTGCATGTGCGTGTGCGTGTGTGTGCATGTGCGTGTGTGTGTGCATGTGCGTGTGTGTGCGCGTGTGTGTGTGTGTGTGTGTGTGTGTGTGTGTGTGTGTGTGTGCGTGTGCGTGTGCGTGTGTGTGTGTGTGTGTGTGTGTGTGTGTGTCGTGCGTATGTCAGAGTGGGTGTGGGCGTTAGTATATTACCTACACGCCTGATAGGATGGAGGAGAGATTCAGTCTCCTCATAGTTCATAGTCTGCAAATAATTAAGAGACTTTAGAATTGCAAGACAGTTTATGTTGCACAGTGTAGTCTATGTAAAAACAGTGGGTTACGGGTTGAACGTACTACAAGGTGATTTCGCTGGGAAAACATTAAAGAGGGATCATAGCAACAACTACTATGTTGTTTGAGGACAGTTAATAAAATAAAGAGTTGGCGAACTGAAAGTACCTCACAATAATGATAGAGATCGAACGTTGGTGATAGCAGGGATTTGAACGTGCAGACTTTGAGGACCGCTCTTTGGGCTCTTTCCAGCTTAATTAGTATTGAATTACTCGCGCCACCCCAGGTTGTTAAACAGTAAACTATAAGTGACTGACAAAGTGCTAAATAGACTGATCTAACTAGACAAGGATCTGCGACTTGGCGAAGATTTTTAAAAACGAACATGAGTTTACGGAGTCTACAAGCGATGAGGTTGATGTGGGGCTGGAAGGTCAGTTTATTGTCTATAATAATACCTAAATATTTTATGACATCGGTCAAGGTAAGAGGTTCACAGTTACATGAGAAGAAGGGGAGGTCAGAATGGGAATGATCAATTAAGCGAAAGTTTTCTAATGCTTTGGGTGGAATACTGCTGAGGGAGAAGGTGATATACTGGTTTTTTTTGGAATTGAGAGTGAGTAGATTAGTACGGAGCCAGAGAGAGACTAAGTTCAAACCAGATTGGGCAAGTTGGAAGGTATCTTTCCAGGAGCAGGCCGAGAGAATTAGCGCGGTATCGTCTGCAAAGGAGACAATCTTACAACTAGGAATTTTGAGAGAGCAGAGGTCATTGATATATAGACCAAGAAGAGCGTCGGGCCAAGAATGCTTCCCTGGGGAACACCGTAACTCATGGATAATTCGGAAATCACTTTTCCATTGATAGTGACAGCTTGGTTTCGGTTTGAAAAATAACTCTGGAAGAGGGATAGTTGGGTACCTCTGACACCAATTGCCTCCAGTTTACACAAGAGGATGGGAATCGAAACCGTGTCGAAGGCCTTGGCCAAGTCGAGGAAGACCGATAAACATTTATTACCCTTGTCTAAGTTTCTAACCACATGATCTGTGAGAGAGAGAGAACCGCATCTGTTGTAGATCTGCCAGATCTAAAACCAAATTGCTCAGGGGACAATAAGTTCATTTTCTCTAGGAATTCGATTAACTGGTTATTGATCAGCCTCTCCAGGATCTTAGACAAGGCGGGTAAGATCGAAATGGGGCGGTAATTATTGGGCTGGCTTCGATCACCACTCTTGTGAATGGGGTGAACTAGGGCTTTCTTGAGGGCATCAGGGAAGCAACCTGAAGATAGACTCAGGTTGCATAAATGGCATATAGCAGGAACGAGTAAATCCTTTCCGCATTTAAGGATAGATGAGGGAATATTATCCCACCCGACTGCACAGTTTTCCTTGAGTGATGAGATGAGAGAGTCAACTTCGGATATAGTGGTATTAAGGAGAACAAAGGTATTGGGAATTTTTGGGGGAGGGAGTAGAGGTAATAAGTATATCCTCAGCGAGAGATTTACCAATATTTGCAAAAAAAGCATTTGTACTATCAAGTGATTCGGAGGTGGTAGACATAAAAGTGAGAAGGTCGTTGCAGTTGGAGAGCTGTTTGTAACATCTCTGATAGCGTTCCATAATTTTTTATTATTATTTCCAGCCTTATTTATCCGCTCTCTATCATATGCTATCCTAATCTTCCTAAGAAGGGAATTGCAGAAATTACGGTAGCGACAGTAAGTTTTTCGAAGTATCATTTTAAGGGTCTTTTTTAAGTTTCTTATGCATGCCGTCTCTATTTCGAATACATCTTAATAACCCAGGAGTCATCCAGGGTTTGAGAATCCTACGTCGGCTGGGCAAGAGCTTGGGCTTGGAGTGTTGATCTATCGCAGCCTGAAGTTTACTAACAAACAGGTTAGTTGCTAGGTTTGGATCAGTGAGCTGAAGTACATCGGAGAAGCTTACTTTTTTTAAGGTGTCCATAAGGTTGGGGATGTCAATCTTTTTTTGAAACTTTGGAAGATGAATGTGATATATTCTTCATATAGATGGCAAGTAAGATAGCGTCGTGGTCCGTAACTGAGGATTGGATCACAAGACATTAGGCCGGAAAGGTAGTTTTAGAAAGACATGGTCGAGACAGGCCAGTTTACGAGTGGGAATAGTATGGGCTGGCAAAAGACCATTATAGGCGAGCATATTCAAATACGCTTCAGTATTTTGATCAGGGGTTAAGTTTGGTATAATATTAATATTGATATCTCCTGCAATAATGATATTTTTAAATTTATTTAAAGAAGCTAAAGTCTGACAAAGAGAATTTATAAAGTTGAGGGGATTTCGAAATGCACATGGTCGATATATAGCTAAAATTACAGTTTCTTG